GACCACTGTACTAGCAAGGCTCCTCTAACAGAAAAGTCATGACTGCAGTTTAAGTTAATGAAATGACACCGTCCATATCCAAATGGATGAGACACGAGAGCAAGCAATAGCCAGAAATAGGAGACTGATAAATATTGAGGGAAAGAACTAAGGCGGGGGGAATGGCTTTGCATGGCAATTTAGTATGTCCAAGAAGGAATGTGGAGTGGAAATGTCTATCAAGGGAAATCAAAAGGCAAAAGTAGAATATCCCACCAAAGTCAGTTAATCACCAGCAGGGTGGATAAAAATCAATGATTTTTTAAAAAAAATAAAAAAAAATCGGATTTTTTTTATTTAAATCAGATTTTTTTATTTTTATTTTTATTGAATTTATTTTAATGAAAAACTTTTGGGGTAAAATTCTATCGTAAGATAGTTTTCTATTTAAGATACATAAATAATTTAGTTTATTCAGCATGAAATGGAGCTTAGTTATGTAGCACAAGGCTATATATTCTGCAACACTGGGACTATCAGTGAGTCAACAGCGGGTCAAAGGATTAGCAGAGATGACAGTTGCTCTTTAAAAATTATGATTTAAATCGAGTTGATTTAAATCAAGTCTTTTTACTAGTGATTTAAATCATGATTTAAATCGACTCAATTTAAATCAAATCCACCCTGATCACCAGGCTGACTTTTTAAAGGGATACCCTAAACTTCCATTTTCAATGCAGATCTAAAGTACAGACGGTGATAGCGGCCATTTCAGCGATTGGCTCTGAGCTCTGTTGCATGGAAGAATCTGGAATAAAATAAACCCAACATATGCGGCCAATTTTTTGATCTTTTTAACCTTATAGTTTTATACTGCTACTTATGACATTGTAATAATCAGGTATTGCTGGAATTGCCCTCATTAAATGATGTGGTCATGAGGCTTCCTGTTGGCGCCGCCGTCATCGTCTTTCAAGACCGCCAGCCCCACCGCCCGTAAAGAGCCGCCTCCACAGCTGAAAGGCGGCTCGAAAAACTCCGTTTCTTTAAGGAAATGTGAGAAGAGCCGGCGAGAGCAGGTAGAGCTCCCTGTGAAATCCCCAGATTGTTTTTTTTTTTTTTTGCTTCTGGGGAGGAAACAGAATGAGGCTCCCTATCCAGCTCGCCGTGGCTCCGGGGGAACTCTGCATGTAGCAGAGCTAGACGACACGACCAACATAACCAGCAAAAGTCAAAGGATTTATTAAAATAAACAGGGTGAAATCTGGATCTGGAATTCAAAACTGCAAGTATATATAATAGCCCTGTGATTGAATTTAAGAATGAAGAAAGAGTGAAGAAAGAGTGAAAGTTTAAAATGGCGTCCGACTTTAGCTGCTTGAAAAGAAAAAAAAGCTAAAAGCGAAAGTGGACTTGCCTGATTGTCTCAGTATGCTACAAAGTATCCAAAATAACAGCGCTGGTTAGAAGAGAAGGGAAAAAGTTTTTTTTTTTTTTTCTAAACTGTCTTTATGTTCTATCTCCCTTAGAGACTTGATTTATTCTGAGAGGATTTTGTGCTGGTGAGAAGGGAGAGAAGACTTCCTTTTTAAAAAAGAGTTTGTGTGGCAGAGTGGCTTCAAAGCCAGATAACAAAGCTGTATGTGGGGGTTCCCCTATTCATAAGTCACAAGAGCAGTTTTTAAGCACTGATTTTAAAGACTTGAAGGAATTTATTATTGGGGCTCTGATGAGACAAGATGTGCTTATGGACCAGAAGTTTGAGAAATTCCAACAGGAAACTAAGGAAGTGGTTCAAGAAAGGTATGATAAGATGAAGCGAGATTTTTTGACAGTCCTGACTGGCTTCTCAGAAGTAATTGTCCAAATTGATAAAAAAATGGAAGAAATCAATTTAGAAGTAGAGTCTAAAATGAAGGAAGCTGATTATAAGATCTATAATGTGGATAATAAAATGCAAAGGATTGAAAATGAAGTGACAATGATGCAATTTAAATTTATGGAATTTGCTGTAAGACTGAGGGGGATAAAGGAAAATAACAGAGATTTGAGAAGGATTTGTGCTGATGCTTTGGCTGTGATGTTAAAGGTTAGTCCTGAAGAGGTTTTGTCCAAAATTGACAAGATTTACAGAGTGAATTCTTGGGCAGCAAGACGAAGGCAGTTGCCCAGAGATGTAGTGATATACTTTACAGATAAAAGAATAAGAAGTGACATCTTGCAAAAGTATTTTGTTTCTACCTTACATGTGGAGGGAAAGCAGATTGGGATTTATAAAGAGCTGCCGCCTAAGATGTTAAAAGACAGAAAAGATTTTGGATTTTTGGTGACTGAACTAAAGAAACAAGAAATTCCATACAAATGGGATGTTCCAGTTGGCATAAGATTGACGTATCAAGGAGAAAGATACCGATTAAACACTGTTGAAAAAGCGGAAGAATTTTATCGCAATGTTTTTCAAATTGGCCCAACATCTCCATGTATATTTTCAGCGTCAGGAATACAGGAGGGAGATAAAAAAAAAGCAAATTGAACAAGAGATTGAAGCCCAGTGGAAGCAGATGGAGATGGAGCCAATGGAAATACAAGGAACTACAGGGGGCTTTTTGGATGACCCATTTTCGGATCATCCTTTAAAGGCTACAGGTGGATCACCTAAAAATACAAGAGAAGTGGCTTTGGATCTTGATCTGATGTCCTACAAAGTTAAAGATCAGCATATAACTTGAATAGCATGCAAATTCCAGAAAAAGAACAACAGCAGAGGTTTAAACCAGCACAAGGCAAGAAAAGAAGCAGGTTCCATAAAACTAGAAAATTTTAGCCCAATATTTCTTTTGAATATGGATTAAAAATTTTTGTAAAGTTATTAGCCAACAGATCAATGCCAGTTATCCAAGAATGGATTTATGTTTAAGCAGGATTTATAGAAGGTAGATATATGAAAGACAATGTGAGGCAAATTATAGATTTATTGACTATCTTGAGAAGAATAAACAGATCCCTGCAGTGCTGGTGTTCTAAGAGGTGGAGAAGGCCTGTAATTGAGTGAATTGGAACTTTCTATTATAGATTTTAAGAAAGATGGATTATGTGTACGTTGGAGGGAATAATTATGAGGCAAGAGGACTACGGAACAAGGGCACTTGCAGGTGATCTGGTTGTTACCCTAACATGTTCAATGGAACTAATAATCTAGATGAAAGACTTTACAGAAGATATCATATGGAATATAAATATAAAGTCACTCGGGGGGGTGTTATATATAAAAGTATTCTTCAATGATGGGGGCAGATGACAACTAAAGACACTAAATACACTGTTGGAAGAAGGACTTGATGTGATTGTTTAGATTTTATAAATTATTATATATGGCAGACCTGCGGGAAAGTGGGAGAAACAAAATTGATATAGTATATGGTGATAGGCTAGGTTACTGATTGTTCAATACTGGAAAAGGGATGTTATGTTTATTATTGAAGAATGGACTCTGAAGGTGGCCGGTTTCGCAGAAATGGTGAAGTTATCAGCATATATAAAAGAACGGACACAAGAGATTTATGTAAGGGAGTGGAGGACATGGATAGATTATGTGTAGAATAAATACTAAACTAGGAAGTACCAGATAATTTTTAGTTGAATGTTGTGTAGAAATGTATAGTTTACAGGGGATAGTATACTAGAATGTTAGGAAGATATGTTTATCACACACGGGGTAGAGTAGATGGGCGGTTAAGTATTATATAATATGACTTGGATTTGGATTTCATCCTGGGGAAGCCATGGGGGAGGGGAGGGTAAGGGAGGGCTAGGGGGGAAAGGGGGGGGAAGGGGGGAAAAATTTGTATTTGTAAAACTTTTTCAATAAAAAAAAATGATGTGGTCATGTAATGTCACTTTTTATAAACTCATTATGAAAATTCACATAATGTGCACACAGTAATGAGAGTCCTTAGATTGCCTGTGTAACATGTTTGTGATGAGAGCTGCACTGGATTGATTTCTTTACAGGGTACAATTCAAATTACTGGTCATCCCCTTTAAACCTACTTATTATAGCAGTAACATATAGACACATATACCACCACAGAATATTTTACAGCAGTCTCCCTTTACAGTCAGCATATTTCCCCCAACAATCTGGGTCCTCATTTTACAGATCTCAGAAGGATGGAAGCTGTCAACCTCAACCCCCGTCAGGATCAAATGACAGGCTGTGGGCAGAGTCAGCTGGCAATACTGCATTCTAAGCACTGTGTCAATAGGGCATCTGACATTATTTTCCCACCTTTATTATTTTTGCATCTACTTGTTCTACTGGTTGAGATGGGGGTAGGTAGGCATGCTCCTTGTCCATTCCTTTACATTTTGATGATAGGAGGTAGGAAGTCTTTTTTACTGTAGCTCCATCCCTATGGGAACACTCTTTCCCATAAAATTTGACAGGCCTTTTTCCTCCTAAAGGTTTCCTCTGTCTGTCATCTCCAATTCTAGGAGGCAGTGCTCAACTTTGTTGCTTAGCTGAATTTTGTTGCTGGGCAGGTTTCTTTCGCTGGCCCACCATATTTACCATGTTTAAAAACAAAGACATGTTTGATTAAAAAGAATCAGCTGAGAAATTATAATGGTAAATTTCTCAGCTGAGCTTGCAATGAGAGATCAGAAATGATATTCAAGATATCTCTACATACATCAAATTACACCTTATGGAATATCTTCTGTACGATCAGAGGAATTTTGTCCGAAACACTGTTAGCAAATCTAGGCATTAAAATGGTTTCTCCCCTATGTGTAACCTTACATGATTTATAAGGGTAGAATATTACTGAAATCTTTCCCACAATCCAGACATTCATTACGGTCTTGCTCCTGTGTGAGTCCTCTGGTGTATCACCAGCTTGGAATTCTGAATGAATTTTTTACCACACTCCAGACACTCATATGGTTTTTTTCTGGCGTGAATTCTCTGGTGTATCAGCAGGTTGGAACTCTGAGTGAAACGTTTCCCACAATCCAGGCACTCATATGGTTTGATGCCTGTATGAGTTCTCTGGTGTAACACCAGGTAAGAATTCCGACAGAAACATTTCCCACAATCAGGACACTTATATGGTTTCTCTCCTGTATGAGTCTTCTGGTGTATCAGAAGGTTGGAATTCTGCTTGAAACTCTTTCCACAATCCAGACACTTATATGGTTTCTCTCCTGTGTGAGTTCTTTGGTGTTCCACCAGGTGGGAATTTCGACTGAAATGTTTCCCACAGTCCAGACACTCATATGGTTTCTCTCCTGTGTGAGTGCTCTGGTGTACCACCAGATTGAAATTCTTACTGAAACTTTTCCCACAATCCGGACACTCATATGGCTTCACTCCTGAGTGTGTCCTCTGGTGTATAACCAAGTCGTAATTCTGAGTGAAACTTTTCCCACACTCCAGACACTCATATGGTTTTTCTCCTGTGTGAGTCCTCTGGTGTTTCACCAGAGCAGAATTCCAATTGAAACTTTTCCCACACTCCAGACACTCATATGGTTTTTCTCCTGTGTGAGTTCTCTGGTGTACCACCAGCTTAGAATTCCAAAAGAAACCTTTCCCACAATCAGGACACTTATATGGTTTCTCTCCTGTGTGAGTTCTCTGGTGTTCCACAAGGTGGGAATTTCGACTGAAACTTTTCCCACAATCCAGGCACTCATACGGTTTCTCTCCTGTGTGAATCTTCTGGTGTATCATCAGGTTGGAATTCTGAGTGAAGCTTTTCCCACAATCGTGACACTCATATGGTTTCTCCCCTGTGTGAGTCCTCTGGTGTATCACTAGGCTGGCATTCTGAGTGAAACTTTTCCCACAATAAAGACACTCATATGGTTTCTCTCCCATATGAGTCTTCTGGTGTCTCAACAGCTTGGAATTCTGAATGAATTTTTTCCCACACTCCAGACACTCATATGGTTTCTCTCCTGTGTGTGTTCTCTGGTGTATCACCAGTTTGGAAGTCTGACTAAAACTTTTTGTACAATGTGGACACTCATACAATCTCTCTCCCGTGCGAGTCCTCTGATGCTTCATCTGATCAGACTTCAAAGTATAAGTCCTACAATCAGGACACTCATATGGTGTCTCTTCAGCTTGAATCCTCTGGTGTATCACTAGGTGGGAATTCACAGTGAAACTTAATCAGGACATTCAAAGGGTTTCACTCCAATGTGAGTTTTCTTGTGTCTCACTAGAGTAGGGTGGCATCCTAAAGCTTTTGCCACATTGGGATCACTGGTAGGCCCACTCCCCGGTGTGAGTGTTTCCATGTGGGAGCTGTTCTGAGTAAAACTTTTGCCCCTCTATGAGCATTTGTGTGGATTTTCATTGGTGTGGACCCTCTCTTGCATAATTAGCTGTGATCTGCAATCTGTTGTTTTTTTGACAATAGGCCCACTCTGTGTTTTTCTAACACTGATATTCTTGCATAATTGAGGAGGCCAAAAATATTTCTGAGCTCTTACCTGCAGGTACTTTGAAAGCCCTTACAAAGGCTTTCATTAATGCCATTCCATTTCGGCTATCCAAGGGAAGTTTTCCTTCCCACAGACTTCGTTATTTCTACTTTTTCTGAATTTGGAAATTATCCCCTTTGACTTTTCATGTAATCTTTCTTTGAGTTCCACATACTCCATTGTTTCCAGCTCAAAACTTTGTTCTTGTTATTTTTTCCCTTGTTTCTCATCTCCTGAGGAAAGAGAAGAGTTTTTATACTTTCTGGAGGAAGTGGAAAAGATTTTGGTTGATTTTTTGTTTTTGTTTTAACGCTGCTTCTCATTCTCTGTTATTTACAGTCCTCTTCTTAGAATCTTCTTTGTCTGTAAGATCCATATGAATGAGTTAGTATCATTATTGTTAAAAAGAAATGGCTGCAGAAACATGAGAAAACACCGCCCCCCCAAAAAAAGCCCCACATATATTACAATGGAAAAGTATCAAAATGGTACTTTAACCTGTAATAATTATGGTTCATTTGGCACATTAAAAAAATCTAAGTTCAAACCTCCACTCAATCCTTTTCTTTTTGCACCATGTAAATCATATTAGCATTGAAAATTGTTATAAAATATTCCTGTTTATTGTTTATTTCAGTCTGCAAAATGTCCCAGAAGGATATTCGCTCACATTCTTTGATCTCATTTTAGAAAGGTGGGACACTAACGGATGAAATGATGCCCAAATCCCATGCAAGATTTAAAACATCTGTTTTGCCCATGAAACTCCACATTTGATAGGTCAATAAAACGGGTCAATAAAATCAGAAGGAATTAAGAGTTATGTGGAGACTGAGGGAGATTGACCTGTGCGCTCCCACAGAGAGGGCCTCCTTGGGGTGCCTTCAGCCAAACAATGTAGGCTGGTGACCCCCAGGGGGAGAGCCTTCTCTGTGGTGGAACCTACCCTCTGGAACCAGCTGCCCCCAGAGATAAGGGGAATCCAAGACCTTGGTGCCTTCCACCGTGCACTCAAAACTTTCTTTTTTCAGCAAGCTGGGCTGGCCTAACACTTTTTAAAAATGTTTTTAATTGTTTTGTCATTGCTTTTAATTATGGGGCCAAATATATATATATATATATATCTTTTTAATTGTACTTTAATGTTTGTAGTTTATGTTTTTATTTTGGCTGTACACCGCCCTGAGTCATCAGGGAGAAGGGCGGTATATAAATTTGATATAAAATAAAATAAAATAAAATAAAATTTCCCCAAATCTCCCATTGGTAAAACCACAGGCAGCAGCTTTAAGTAGTGCAGCCACAGAGGAATAAAATTTGGGAAGGGAAAGAATATACAACAGCAGCAGTATCCATGCTTCAGCCTCTTTTCTTCCTCTACTTCATACGCCGTGGAGGAAAGAAAGCAAAGGGCCCGAGTTGCTCCCGGCTTCTCCTCCGACCTTCCCTCCACTCACCTCCCAGGAGCCGCTGCCACCCTCCAAGCAACATAAGAGACTCCGCCGACGCCATTATCCTCCCGTGGGCGACCCGGAAGAGGAAGTTCCTCTGACCTTCGCCTCCCCTCGTCGACATCCTCTTTTTTTCTTCTTGTGCCATATCCGTAATTGGACGTTGGCGATCCTCTCTAGCAAGCCAATACTCTATCGTTTCAACTCGTTCAAGCTCAGCCTCTCTCCATTTCCTTGAATAGCTATGCTGCAGTTGCAAAGTACCTGCTTTCTAGTCTCCAATATTGCTTCTCTGTAGATCGCCATCTAGCGTCATAAGGCGGAATAACATGCTCGTTCTACTCTAAGGCGTTTGAAGATGTTCTCATGGATTCCGTGCTTCCTTAAGTGCCATCAATTCCTATTTGATTCCCATCGAGCTCATCGGTAGCTTTTCTCCCTGAAGCTCCACCCCAAAACCTTTTCTTTCAGGTCCCCCAAGAGGGCATCCATTGTCCCTGGAGCTGAGCTGCAAGCATCCTTTGGAAGAAGCGGGAACTAAACCAAAGAAAAGCACCCTTGGGGGAATGATGTGCAAATAGGAAACGAGAGACTAGCCTAAACAATTGCCAGCTTCATCCCATTAATAAAAGAAGGAAATAAGGGACAAAAAACCTGAAGTGCCCATCCACATTACTTCCATCTCTCTCTCATCTCTTTTTCTGTCTGTCTCTCATCTCTTTTTGTCTCTCATCACTTTTTCTCACTCACTCTCATCTTTCTCTCTCCCTCCCCCTTCTCTCTCTCTCTCTCATATCTCTCTCCCCTGTCTCTCTCATCTTTTTGTCTCTCTCATCTCTTTCATCACTCTTTCCCTCCCCTTCTCTCTCATATCTTTCTCTCTCTCCCCTCTCTCTGTCTGTCTCTCCCATCTCTTTCTTTCTTTCTCTCATCTCTCTCTCTCTGTCATTCTGATTCTCCGGCACTCTCTGGGTCTCGCGGGCGGTTCTTTGGTCTTTGTTGGTGCTGGATGCACCTCGGTGCTTGGGGAGACACACGACCTGCTCTCCGTCCCGAGACACTTGCCCGACCCTGATGCTCTGCATTGTATTGGGCTCCAGGAGGAGAAGGGGACACTGTCTCCCCCATTGTGAAGCACGCTAAATTTAACTGAGCTGCAAGAGCAGCAGGCAGGCCATGGAGGCGCCAACAGCAGTGGCAGACAGAAACGGCCGGGCCAGGCCAGTGTCTCACAGCTGAGAGGAAGTTGCATGTCTCCCAAAGACACTGAGGTTTGCAGAGCACCAACAAGGGCCGGAAGAAACGCCTGCGAGACCCAGCAAGAGATGAATCGTCACTCCGGTCTGAAATATGGAGCGAATCTCCATCCCCCACCCTTCCCTTCCTTCTCAGGCTGGGCAAGGAGAAACAGGGAGGGGAGGACAAGGTGTGGGCCAGCCACCAGTGGGTTCAGCAGATAGGAAGCCACAGCAGGGGGACGAAAGAGCCACAGATTTCCGCCACCCATTGCTTCGGCCCACCTGCGTCACCAACCCCACCTTGCACCATTACCTCGTTCCAGCCAGCGAGGGCTGCACTACTCCTTGCATGTTGCACCAACTGCAAAGTTGCAAGTACGTCCACCTACGGCGGAGATTTTCAGCCCCACCATGAGCTGCCTAGCCGGTCCCATATTCCAGAGCTCTAGTCACAGGACTGGCCATTGGTCATCCCGGAGCAGCTCCTCCACCCGGGTGTGCTGTGGACCACCAAAAATTTCCCACGGATTACCACCGGTCCACGGACCACCGGTTGGTGACCTCTGATCTACTGTGCCAATTGTACCCTTTTCTGGACCAGGAGGCCTTCCACATGGGTCACCTCCTATTTGGATCACTGCACTGGACCACTCAGAAAATTCAAATGGTGCAGAACGCAACAGCACACACAGTAATGAGTCCCTAGATTGCCTTTGCAACATGTTTGTGATGAGAGCTGCACTGGATTGTTTTCTTTACAAGTACAATTCAAGTTACTGGTCATCCCCTTTAAAGCTACTGTATTTATTATAGCAATAGCATTTAGATACATATACCACCACAGAATGCTTTATAGCAGTCTTGTTTTACAGAATCAGCATATTTCCCCCGACAATCTGGGTCCTTTTACAGATCTCAGGATGGAAGGCTTTCAACCTCGAGCCCCGTCAGGATCAAATTGCAGTGTGTGGGCACAGTCAGCTGGCAATTCTGCATTCTAAGACTGTGTCACTAGGGCACCTGTCATTGTTCTCCTTTATTATTTCTAAATCTACCTCTTCTACTGGTTGAGATGGGAGGGCATGCTCCTTGTCCATTCCTTTACATTTTGCTGATAGGAGCTTGGAAATAAACCTTTTCTACTGCAGCTCCAGCCCAATGGGAACTCTTTCCCATAAACTATTTTATGGGAACTATTTCACATAAAATTTGGCAGGCCTTTTTCCTTGTAAAGGTTTCCTCTGTCCAGTCGATTCTAGGAGGCGGTGCTTACCTGTTTTAGTTGAGAGAGCCAGTTCATGTGGCTCTAAACAGAATGCTGTTACCATTCCACCAAAGTGGTACTTCTTTATCTACTCACATTTGCATACTTTCAAGGAGTGTTGTGGTGGCCTAGAGCTCTCATCATCAGGAGGCTGTGAGTTCAATCCTAGGTTGAGGCTGATAATATCTCTCTCTGGCACAATGAGAATGTATCTCCCCAGCCAGCCTCTGGGAGGTGAAGTCCAAAAGTCTTAAAGTCGCCAAGTTTGGAGACCCCTGAGTTAGACCCAGTTTAAATCTAGGTCTGCTGCAAAATTCTGCATTGGAGACAGGAAGTGGATCCAACCAGTAAACACTCAGCTCTATTCAGTTGCCCAGACTCCACCCCGCAAAGGATTACAGGGTCATTAAATGACCTAAAAAAAATTGCATCCTTTCGAACTGCTAGGTGTGCAGGACTTGCAGAAAGAAACAGTAGCTCACCCTGTTGTGTGGCATGTGGGTTTCTAACCCAGATTGTCAATATTCCTGCGGACGTCCTCAGCATATTTAATTGCTGACCATCATGCCTCCTCTGATAGTGAGATAGGAAGCATATAAATTTAAGAAAACAAATAAATTTTATTTCCTTTTTATTCAGAAACTCAAGATGGCATACAAAGCACTTCCTGGGTTACATCTTGGGCAAAGAAACAGGATCTTTTCTCATTTTAAATCCGCAGACCAGCCAACCTACCTGCACAGAAATACTTTCTGCCTCTCAGTTGGCATTTTAAATTAGCATCCAGCAGCTTCTGGCAGCCACTTTCCTGCCTAACCTAACACTGAACTGGAACTTGTGGCTTTTCATTCAGGGTCCTTGATTCTTGTCTTTTTTTCCTGTTTTTTATATAATAATAGTAAACATTATATAATGTTTATTATAAATAATAAACATTATTTTTATTAGTAACAAACATGACCACAGAAGTGTCTTCAGACAACACTGGCTCTCTCAGGTAAGAAACAAGAGATGAGTACCACTCCCTAGAGCTGGATACAAGTGGTCAGGGGCAACCTTTGCCTTAATTATTATTTTAAACAGAAGATAATATTAACAAGAATTAATAAAGTAAAGCTACTTCCAATTTCCTTTACAGTGAATGTAATTAGAAATACAAAATTATATCTTACTCGATGGTTATAAAAATATCTTTTTTTTTACAATTACCTGGTTTTTAATAATCAAAACTATAAGTCATAACTTTATTTTTTCTGTTTCACACAAGCCTCTAAAGGGCTTTCAATCAGCAAGGGATGTAGAAAATGTCTTTTCTCTGACTGAGGAAGTCAATTATTCATCTCAACAAATGCCATCATCCTCGACAACCATTCCTCCATTGCGGTTAAAGTTGAGACTTTCCACTTTGGTGCATAGAATACAGGTGATCATTGACTTATGACAACAATCAGGGCAGAAATGTTGGTCCTACGTCATTGTGGTCATAAAGCAATATACTCATATAATTGTCTCTCTCAACAACCGGAATCCTGCCCCCTCCAAGTCGCGATCACTAACAGACCATGTAACTCATCAAGCAAACAGAGTGAAAATGTTACCTGCCAAAAGAGGGCAGGCAGTTCCCCTTTATGTGCAAAAGGGAATTTCGTTGTTGGGCAGATTTCTTTCGCCAGCCAACCATAGGACTTCACCTGTCTACCCTGCGTGGAAGGGAACAACTGCACTGGGCCAAAGAAAGGAAGCTCAGAAAGGGCTTGGATCTCCCAACACAGATCTCCTCCTTCATGTTTAATAATAAGACATATTTGATTAAAAAGAATCAACTGAGAAATCAAAATAGTTAATTTCTCAGCTGAGCTTGCAATGAGAGAACAGAAATGATATTGAAGATTCCTCTAGATACATCAAATTACTCCTTGTGGAATATCTTCTGTACGATAAGAGAGGAGTTTTGTGTGAAACACCGTCAGTAATCTAAGCATTAAAATGGTTTCTCCCCTATGTGTAACCTTACATGATTTATAAGGCTAGACCTGATACTGAAATCTTTCCCACAATCCGGACATTCATATGGTCTCGCTCCTGTGTGAGTCCTCTGGTGTATCACCAGCTTGGAATTCTGAACAAATTTTTTCCCACACTCCAGACACTCATATGGTTTTTCTCCGGTGTGAGTTCTCTGGTGTATCACAAGGGCAGAATTCCAATGGAAACTTTTACCACAATCCAGACACTGATATGGTTTGTTGCCTGTATGAGTTCTCTGGTGTACCACCAGGTGAGAATTCCGACAGAAACCTTTCCCACAATCAGGACACTTATATGGTTTCTCTCCTGTATGAGTTCTCTGGTGGATCACCAGATTGAAATTCCTACTGAAACTTTTCCCACACTCAAGACACTCATATGGTTTTTCTCCTGTGTGAATCTTTTGATGTATCAGAAGGTTGGCATTCTGCTTGAAACTCTTCCCACAATCCGGACACTCATATGGTTTCTCTCCTGTGTGAGTTCTCTGGTGTATCACCAGGTTGGAATGCTGACTAAAACGCTTCCCACAGTCCGGACACTCATATGGTTTATCTCCTGTGTGAGTGCTCTGGTGTACCACCAGATTGAAATTCTTACTGAAACTTTTCCCACAATCCGGACACTCATATGGTTTCTCTCCTGAGTGAGTCTTCTGGTGTATAACCAAATCGGAATTCCGAATGAAACATTTGCCACATTCCAGACAT